CCCGGGCCCTGCCTGCATTTATTTGGCCAGGCAGAAAACGCCGCGGTGGTGTCCCGGTCACAGCTTTCTCTCCTGGCAACAGTTTGGATTCCGCTCCCCGGGGTCAGGGGGAGCGCGGACCCACGGTCAGGCTGGGGAAGGAGGCTGGTGTTTGCTGGCCGCTTGCTTATTTACCCTTTGACTTCAGGCAAGTTGCTGAAATAATCTACTCCTCAGTGTGATCGTCTGTAAAATAGAGCCGTTAACAGAAAAGAAGATAGAAACCTCGAAATAAAAGTGTTCTTTAATAGCAAACAACTGTCAGCAGATGTGGAACTGAATTTTTTTTTGTTATTTCTTTAAAATACTTGCCCCATTTGGTAAAAGAAGCATTGGGCATCAAAGCTGAGATCAGTTCTGTATTTAAGTAGACAAGCAATAGTCCTTAAACTTCAGCTTTCAGCACCTACTTTTTTGCACTGATTTCATGCTAAACAAGCCATTGAGCAACGCCAGATTTCCCCTGGCTAGAGGGCAGAACGCTGTCATTAGGAGAACACAGGACTTGAGAAGATGCGTCAGCTGACGGCCCTAAAGACCAGCAGCCTCTATCCATCTGCAAAACAAGGTCCCAGACTAAGAAAATAGTGTGCCTAACTCACGCTTCTCTCTTTACACAGTTGCCCTTTGAGTTTTGATGTGGTTACTTGTCCTGTAAGAGTATGACAGCTTGTAACCTTCACAGTGGCCACTGAAAAACACAGTACCCCAGCCTTTCCTTTTCAGCCTTGGGCTGGACATCTTTGAGGTTAAAAAGAAGGAGGCAAAAAAAAAATTACAGTCCACTGAGCTGTCCGGCTATGTTACATTTTCCTTCTTCACTGGATTTTTCAGAGCAAAGAACTCTTTAACCTTTAGTAATACTTAAGTGCTTGCTTTATTTAAGCAGGCAATAACTGAAAAAGATAAAAGTTCTTACTATTCCTTTTTTTTTTTGTAGGTAAAAGATACCCTTCTTTAGTTTTTGGGACACCCAAATCATCCAAGAGTATTATTGGGAAAAGCAGTCCTCTCTGGCAATACATACTGGATCACTCTTTGCGGGAACATCCAATTCTAAAGAAGCTGCGACTGGTCAGTATTTTATCCCCCAACGCAGGTTTTCTGTTCAGTGCCGTTACTGTTCCAGTAGGACCTTTTGGTATCGCCCACACCTCGTCCTGAACTGCTGGACTCTTTGTGATATTCCTTCCTCCATCTTATTTGCATACACATTAGAATGTCTTTTGAACTGGTAATACCCAGACTCTTCAATGTTCAGGGCTACCTAAATGAGTGTTTAATAGTATTGGCATATGTTTTAGACATGTCTTTTTATCCATGGCTCCCAAGCCCATGTGTTTGGGCTGCACTTGATTTTGACTTGAACAGATGACTTCTCTTCATTTTAGTTGGCATATAAGGAAACTGTAGCTCAGAGAGGTGATGTCCTCCAGCAGGCCTCAGAACAGACCGCCTGACTCAGGACTGAAGTCATTTCAAAGTGAGACAAACTACTCCTGTATAAAAGCAACCAAATGTTAAGTACTGGAGCTGGTTGGTTGGAATGAGCCCTAGAGGAGGAAAGGAAATGGGAGGACTGTCCTTTCCATTCAACTGCCACGGCACAGCCCTGCTTCTCCTGCTGTCCCCTCCTCAGTGCCAGGGACCCTCCCGCCCTGGCTCGGGCACAGCTCCTCCAGCTCTGCGCTGTGTAGCCAGAGCCACGTGGTCTGACCTTTGGCAACAGACTTTAACCTAGCAGGTCATAAAGCCATCCTACATGTCTTCGAGGAACAAGGGCGTAACTACAAATGTTACAATTTTTTTAAAAAAGTGCATCTGTTTATGTAAATACACAGAAATAAAGGACTTTCACAGTCAAGGTTCCTCTATGGTTCCTCGTCAGTTATAACTATCGCTGAGTTTGCCACAGCCGTGGTAACTTTGGGGCATATTACTGCTTTGAATGATTAGCCACTGCTTATGACACACACCCCGCCCTCCTTAGTTACTGCTAAATTCAAACCAGTTTCTGGCTCATAGATGGAGCACAAAGCCATCTAAAAGGAGAAAGTTAGGAGTATCTGTTTTTCCTGGGGTTTCTCTGGGTTTTTTCCCTAGGATACTGTTTTGGAAGCTCTGGGTTTTGTTTGATGTGATGTGTTATTTTTTTTCTCATTTCTAGCTCACTGCTGATCATCCCTGGAGTAAAATGATGGTGACCTGTGACCAGGCTCAGCTTATGGCAAATTTGGTCAAGCTCATTAAAGCCAAGAAAGTTATTGAAATAGGTAAGAGTGTCACTTTGTCCTCTCTGTAGTAGAATAAAGCTCCTGGCTGTGCTTTTCCAAATACAGCCATGTTTACATAAGATAAGGTATCTAAACATAGTAAGGCACTGCATACTTGTCTCGGCAAACAGGTGGGCAAACTACAGTGTGAAAAGTAGTGTCTAATTTGTGCTTGCTTGCCACTTTGTCTATCTGTGCATTCAGTAATTCCGGCATCAGCATGGATGTCTCGTCAACTCTGAGGCAATCTGGAAAAGTAAGATCAACAGATCACTTTGGGTCTCCAATAGCTGCAGGACAGGGTGTATTCTTTCCTTCCTGTATCAGTTTCTTGCCAGAAGGAAATGTTTTGCTGCACAGGTCCTGCATCCAATCCACTTTCCTTGATGCACCTATGTTAGCAGGATGTCCCAAAGCCAGACTGATGCTGAGCAGCCAGGTATGGGTTCCCACCATCTTCATTCTTGGCCTGGCTGTTATGGTGCCCTGGTATTTTGCTGCTGGTCCAGTCCCTTTGGCTCAGGATTTAGCTCCACTTTTAAGTAAGGGTGTTGCTCAGAGATGCAGGAGCAGACTCTGCCCTGTGTGTCCAGGAGACTTTTAGAAAAAGCCAACGTTAAGCTTTGCTAAAAAATTGATTTAAAAAAAAAAAAAAAAGTAAAAATTCCTCCCAACCCCCCATTACATTAAAATGGAGGGGAAAAACCTTCTGTGTCCATTAACAAATTGCCATCCTTGACTCCTTTGGGGTTTTTATTCCTGAAAGGAGCCCTGTAGTTCACTATTTATCTCCCCCCCTCTCCTCCCCCCAATCTGGCACCCCAAATATGGTAAGGTTGATGACTCTTATGATTTTCCTAGGTGTTTTCACAGGTTATAATACCTTGAATATGGCACTGGTCCTGCCAGACAACGGCAGAGTTATTGCCTGTGATATAAATGAGGACTATGTCAAAATTGGAAAGCCACTGTGGAAGGAGGTAAGCAGCATCTTTTCTGTTACATGTTTGGGATGGCTGCATTTGCATGTCAAGGGATTTTGGTATCTTAGGCTTGCACATTCACACACAAGCATTCATATCATTAAAGGAGGCTGAGACAGTTCAATTTGGAAAGACAAGTTAAGTGCTGTCTGAAACCTACAAATAATAGGAAAAATATCTGAACACCAGTCACTCCCTGAGTGCAACCTACTAACAGGTTATTTCGTGACCACTTTGATCAACTCTTTGTTCTTTTTCATTCTAGGCAGGAGTAGAGCATAAAATTGACCTGCGGATTAAGCCAGCAATTCAAACACTTGGTAAGTAACCTAAAATACTTTTTTTTTCCCCCCTTCCCTAGAAATAGAAGATGGATATAATACTGATGAAATCTAGGACCAAATATGCTTGTGGATGTGATCCCTTTGCTAACAGAGAGACAGCTTCTTTTATATTTAAAAAAAAAAAAACTTCAGAAAACTTCACAACTTCAGAAGGTCACAGTTTTCCTACATGCTAGCAGAGAGGAAGAAAACGCTTGTCCTGTGTAGTGGGCTGTACTGGTCACTCACCTGTCCTGTCCATCGCCTTGTTTAATCTATGAAGTGCTATTGTCAGCTGCTTCTGGGAAAGCTGATTAAAACAGATTAATTAGACAAAGTCCAATTTCTCTTATCCATTGTCCATTCTAAGCAAGTATTTCTTTGTTATAGACAGGAAGAGTTTTCTGAAAGGGCTGAGGTGCAGAAAAAATACAGAAGCCAATATAAAACTTAGGGTATAACGGTTGAGTTGTGTCCAGAGGAGTTCAAATTTAGGATGTGCCAAAAACATGCAAGGCCATTAGAAAGAATTACTTTTCTCATTCAAGAAAAGAGAGGATGTGGGACAGAGGGAATATTAATAAACATTCTGAAAATGCAAGAAATTTGCTGGGAATGAAGGAGGCAGAAGAAGGTTTCCAGGAAAGGCATTTGATGGATCCACAGATCCATCCGTAACCTTGTATTACTTGCAGATTCATCCATCCTTTCTAAAGAGGCAAACATTAGCAGTCTGCTAGGATGCACTGTCCTTGAAGTCTGACGGACAGCTTTGTCTAGGCAGTGCTTCAGACAAAAAGATCCTCTGTTGGCAGAGGACAAGGGCAGGTGAGAGGGGTGGCCGAGGACCTTAGGAAGGCAGCAGTCAGCCCCTCCGCAACTGGCAATTTCAAGTTCTCGGTCAAGGAGTCCATTTAGGAGAACTTAAAACTGAATTCCACTTGCCTTGGCCCAGAGAGAGACTACTTACAGCAATCTTTTGCTGTGATAAAGATCTCTGGCAGGGTTTGTTCATGACCTGTGTCATGGCACTTGATCATCAATAAGAGATTAGCATTTAGGACCTGTTCATAAATGTGAGAAAAATCCTAATCCACTTAAGTTCTCCTCAGTCAGCTCAAAAAATAGCTGAAGGTGTAGAGTCCAGTTTCAAACTGCTTGACTTGTTTTTACTGCGTCTTTCAGCAGTCCCAGCTGTATCCTGCAGGTTTAGAACTACTCCAGGAACTTCCAAGTAGGCAGAACTCAGTAACTGAGTGTTTTATGGCATACCTCATGTCTAGATTGGTTTCTGTGGGATAAGCTTTTCTAGTAATTAGCTGTAGAGGATAGGCTGCCTGGTCAAGGCACCGAAAACATTATTTAATGAGAACTTTGACACAAATGGATGACTTCCTCCTACACAGCATTAACCAGGGTGTAACGACTCACTTTGTTGCTCATCTAGATGAACTGTTGGCCGGTGGAGAAGCGGAAACCTTTGACTTTGCTTTCATTGATGCGGATAAAGAAAGCTGCAATGAGTACTATGAAAAATGTTTGCGCCTCATAAAGAAAGGGGGAATAATAGCTATTGATAATGTAAGTACTGCAGTTGTAGTGGTAGTAGCACAGGGAGTTACTGCTTTTGCCTCTGGGAAAGGGAAAAAAAAAGTCACAGTGGGATTCTAGTAAGGTGATTTCTGACCTGCAACTCGGTTGCCAATTGCAACTTGTTTGTTCCATGTTATACAAAGGAGGCTTTTAAAATTCAACGTAAATTCCTAAAGTAAGCTATATGGAACACTAATATAAGCAAGGAATAAAACCCTATAGAAGTAACGTGTTAGATTTATATTAGTACATAAATAGCCTGTGGTAACAGAAACTTATCAAATTTTTTGTAATTCGTTACAGAGAATGCTCTGTATTATTCTGATTTGTCTTGTAGTGCATTTTCTACTATGTACAGTACTTACACAAGATCAAAGGTAGCACTTGTAATCAGTAACTACTAATAAGTTATCAATTAATAACTTTTACTAGAAACAAAGATCAATGTTAAACTTCAGGCACCTTCAGGGTTATGGTGGCAGCTGAATAGGGGCTTTTAAAAATACCTATGTTTAATCACATCTCTTTTTATTTTGGCTTCTAATTTGTAGTAGAAGTACAATTAGCCAATTCTGTGGACTCCCAATCCCACTTGCTTATGAGAGGTCCATGTCAGACACCACTAGAAATCTGAAATACAATAAGTAATATCAATTTCTTGAAAATATGCAGGACCTTTTCCAAAGCTTCCTTTGTGGTCCAAGGAACATATTGGAACACATGAGGTGCATGACATTTCTTTTTTCAATAGGTCCTTTGGAGTGGAAGGGTGCTAAAACCAAGAAAGGATGACTTGGCAACCCAGAGCATCCACCACCTCAATGAGAAGCTTCTCAGAGATGCACGAGTCAATATCAGCATGCTCCCAATGGGGGATGGAGTCACACTAGCGTTCAAGTTGTAACTGGAGGAAGCCCAGCAGATGGGAAACAACAAGCAGCATCAAATCATCAGGAAAAACGCAGGCAGAGCGGTATCAAAAATGGTTATTTAACCTGTATCTCCACTGGATAGCATAGCCTGGCAAAGTAGACTTTAGGAGCAGCAGGATCCTAAGGGCAGCTAAGTTGGGAAGAGAGGCTATTTTAAGATCTACTATGGTTTCTTATTTTAGTTGTAATAAAGCAAGTAAACTTACGTGAAGTTGTCCCTGTAAGACAGTGGTTGGAAAAAATCTCCTTCTGTAGAATGACTGAGTTCCGAGTGAGTCAATACAACAAGGTCATTTTCTGTCCTAAAAGAGGCTACTGAGTAGCAGAATAATCAGTCCTACCATCAAAAAGAAGTGGAGTTTACTAATGTTTAAAGCCATAATAGAAAAATGGGGTTTTAATGAAATGTACATGACATCAAGGAGATTGCTAGCCTTCTCAAACTAACGATATTGAAAATCACTAGTAATCCTTGAAGGGTACTACATAAGAAGCCTCAAATATACACTATCTGGGGGCGGGGGGGGGGAAGTAGTTGTCTTTAAAAGCATGTCAAAGGACAAACAGGATTTCCAATACAGAGCACTCCCTAAAACCCTGGTGTGCAAGGACTGGGTTTCTTTAACCTAGGTAACAGTGCAGGTAGATTTTTTTTTTGAAGTCAGAATGAGGAAGAGCAAATAGGCAAGAAGAAAACCAAACCAGTTCTTCCTCCTTCCTCTCTCCCTCCCACCTGCCCGCCAAAGAAGCAACTTGCTAGGTGCTTGTTTCCTAGAAAGTTGCAAGCACAGAGCATTGGTGGCAAGTCTGCAGAAGGAAAATGATGATTGTATGAGGATGCAATACAGCTGTTAACTGGCTATTCAAATAATTACTGCAAGCAGAGATTCCCTTCCCTAGGCAGCATGGAACAAAATGATACTTTTTCCACACCCTGGCAAAGTATTTTTCCTACAGTATTCTTAACTCCTAGTTAACTTCATTTGCTGTTGTCTTCCATTACTCTTGTTTCATCCTGATGCATTCTATAAAATTTTTGATCAAGAAACAGTAGTTGAAAAAGCTCACCTTACCTGGGACCAGTGAAGGAGACTTAAGAGGGCGGGAGGCACATTCAGTTCAAGCTAGAGAATGAGAGTCCAACTAATGACTTCTTTCCATGGTGAATTACAAATAGTAATAACTGATTTTCAGGGCTTTTTATTTCAGCCTGAAATTCTTACTACAGAGAAAACCTAATTAAACAAGAAACCAAAACTAGCACTTTACAGACAAAAGCTCCACCGGCTACTGTTTTGGGGGACGGATACACTGGAAGGGTATCATATGTATATTGAGGAAAAAGGTTACTTTAGATTTGTTGGCCTCCTGTAGGGAAGCTGTATCAGAGCTAAGAGAATCCTTCTTCCATTTGCTTAAATAATGCACTTGAATGACTCAAGGCACTGGGGGACAAAGATTTCAAGTCTCAAAACTGTTAGAACTGGCTACTAGGCTCATATTTTTGAATTTTCAACTGGGTGGCTTGGGTTCTGATAAGGGGCAGACGTCCAGGGTACAGGTCTTACCTGTCTCAGACACTCGTGGTAGTATATGGCAGTGGGAGAGTAATGAAGAAAGGAAGTGTTGCCTGATGGTTTCAGAGTGGGGCTATGAGTGAGGAGATCTCAATTCTATTTCTGTCACTTCCACTTAAAACCCTGATTCAGCAGAGCATGTCAGGATGTGCTTAAGTACTTTGCTGAATTGAGGACTGGCTGCTGTAAAGTAAAATCCATGCCTGGGAGAAGGCCAGGACAAGGTGCATATGGCCCTTAAATGAGATTTTAAATAGGGCATGAAGCTTGCCCAATTTCTTTTTCTGGGTACAGTTTTACCCTCAGAGCTTCAAACCTCTGCGTGCCTCAATTTTCTTACCTGCGTAAAAGAAATAACACCTTGCCAAATTCTTAATGACTATAATAACTCTCAGATGAAGTGGCTAAAAGAATATACAAGATCACTATATGTTTGTATGAAAAGCTGGCCACATTCTACATTACAATTTTACTTTTTAAGTAGATAACAAAAAAATCGTAAAGGCTACAAACACAAAATGGGACACTTTAACAGCTGGGGCATCCTCTCAAATATTCCTGCTTTCAGAGGCTGTAGGCTGATAATCACGAGCGAGCTACAAGCTGTTAAGAATACATACCCTGGCCTAAAAGTACCGTGATGGCCAGAAGTCACTGGAAGATTGATCACAGACTCTCGAACTGTTTTGCTGCTAATTTCCAAGTTGCAAGAATCAGTAAAGCCGAGCCAAAAATGGGCAAGCACGGTGAGTATTTTGGCAAGAAACTGTCAAATAACAGTTTAATAACATTCAAAACCAGATACAAACAATCATAGTTCATGAATTCAAAACTCCTGTTCCTTGAATGGTGAGAGCTAGCAAAGTCACCTATGCTAGAGGAAGACCTATCGAGCGCCTGAGGCTGAAGCCACGTGCAGCAGGCTAGCATTTTGCCTCTGCTTTGAACTCTGCTCCATTTTAAATATGCAGAGCATAGTGTGAGCATTTAATCAAACCTGTCTCCATCCTGATCACGTAATTACCATTAGAAAGAATAGCAATGTGTCCCTAAACTATAGATTGATGAGCCATCTGTAAGCTGAAACAAAGAGCAGAAGGAAGCTTAATTGAATCAAATATTTAGAATACATTACACTCTATCTTGTAGTTACTCAGAAGCTGGCCTTCTCTTCAGGCTTCTGTCCTGCGCGTCTGGAATTCATCACCGCTAACTGCATTTAATCTTTCAACCTTACTATAAAGTGACTGCTGATATTATATAATTATGGTTTAATTCAAGTGGTGAATCAGCTTTGGGGAATTTGTGGGGACAATGGGAATTTAGGCTTTCGTTAGGTGGCGAGAATGGACCATTTGATAATGCAGCACAAGTCTTTGTCTCTCTCTAATGGCAAGATCATGTATGGGATCTTACGGGTCTGCTCACCCCTCCCAGGTAACACACCTGCCTGAGCTACTGCTCACACTGTAGAGGCTCAGGATTTTCCACCCCCAAAGAGGAGCTGACCTGGGGGCACAGCTCTTGCCCAAACCCTACCACCCAGCTGTTCATGCAACACCGGCAGCTCTTCTAGTTGCCAGGGTTGACCGCAGAGAGGCCAACACAGGTGACAAATGTACAGTTGGGACTTGCTCAGAAGCAAAACGGGGCTGAAGGATAGTGCATTTAAAAAAAAAAAAATTCCCCCTAGTGCAGTAACTCCCAGAAGCCACCATGAGAATGAAAACATGTAATCCTAGCTGCTGGTCAGGCATCTCAGTCCCTGCTCCAAAGATGTCACACTCGAAACGGTGTGGTGTGATATTTGGATGGGTGACGGGGAAAGGAACAGAAGACTGTTTCAGAGCAGACTTTGCATCTCTACTAGCTAATTAAATGAGCAGATGACACTCGCTCAGCAGTGCTGCCATGCTCCCGCTTTGTGCTGGCCCTCTGCGACATACCCAGAGGAAAGATGGCAAGAGCTTGGAGTTATCTACAGCGTGGAAAGCACTCAGGACGCAGACTGGGTGCTGAGAAATCTAGAGAGGGGGCTGCCCCAAAAAAAGAAACGACTCACTGTCCAAGGGTTGACGCAGGAGTTCCTGAATGCTCAAGGCTCACTTCTGCATTTTCAACGCTGCAGCTTTTGATCCCGCTGGGACGTGCGGGGGACGAAGCAGGGAGCATCATCAGTCTCTCACGTTGCTGCAGGCCTAAAGGAAAACTGGGCTGCTGGGTGTAGCGTAACTTAGAGGCATTTGTTTGAACCTCTGGCACTGCCATCCCTCCTTCTTTTAACAAACTCATGAAGTGTTTTTAATCTGTTTGGATTTAGCCACGTTACACACAGACAGCACTTTCTGTGAATTGCTGCTCACGGAAGACAATTAGCAAGCTTTTTGTGATAAAGCCCTTAGGATACAGGGAAAGGAACATGAATATAAACCTCATCCAAATCCCCTCCTTGGAAGCACGAACAGCTCCCCACATTCCCCAGAAATCTTGCAGCTCAGACCTGAGGCACACGCCACGTCTCAGGCACTGCAATCTTGATGATATTTGGGTGGCAACAGCAGCAAGTGCCGTAACTTGCAGCTGGCTCCTTTTTGACGACGTAATAGCACAGTTAGCTGCATCCCTGCTTGTGTTCTCTTTATCACTTGAAGAAATCCATCCTAAACAGCCACAACAGGGGTAAACGAGCTAAGAGGTCAGTGCTGTTTTGAGAGACTGTTCTCCCTACTAGTTGAGATGAATACAGCTCGGTTTTATCTAACCCATCTACTGAAACTGCACAGGCCTCCTCCAGCCCTGGCACCACCCTCGCACTACCATAAGGAACACGACCGTGCTGAGCAGCTCCATCTGTCCTTCCAAACAATGGGTACGCCAACACATTCGGATAACCTACGAGCTCCCCACGCACAAGAGATCTGGACCCATCTCTGGGTGGTTTGCAGCACTGCTCATTTCATTTTCACGAGAGCGGCAGCACTATCACGTCCTTCCCAGCATGAAAACGTGGAAAGCCATAAATAAAACGAGAAGGGCCTTCTGGGGAGGGATTTCTGATGGGATCCCAAACAAGAAGTACTGTGCAGGGAACGACGAAGCCGATTCTTCCCTCTTTGCACACCTAAGAGCTGCAAATGAGCATTCCCTGCCACAGTGAGCACTGAGGTTTCTTCAGAGAAACTTAAAGGTAATAAGTTTTTTTGTTTCCTCGCCCATCAGTTGCTCTGCTGTCTGGTCTGCCAAGCCCTGCCAGTTTCTCTGCTGCTGCTGCATGTTGTGCCCCGTGATTTGCACTGGGATGAAAGGCTCTGTGCGAGTATAAAGCATTACCTCTGCATAATTCTAATAAGACACAAATTGGTCTCATGCATTTGCAGCTACTCGTGGTTTCTAAGTCACCTGTTTTATAATAATAATTTTAAAAGCAATGTTTTGGAAAAGGAAATGAACAAACATAAAACCTGTAAAAGAGGGAAATTAATGTGGGATTTCAGACAGGTTATTTATCTTCCTTTTTGGCTCAGTGCAATACTGTAGGGATAAGCACATAACTAGCTGCTCTAATATTTATTCCTATTATAGGAAAAGTAAACATTGCTGATAAGTCACTGCTTTCCAGGATTAGATTTCGTATTTTAGAGACTGCTTTA